ATCAAGCACCGTTTAAAGTGCAAAACAGTTCTAAACAATTATGTTTAGGAAACAGGTGATGGACTTTTTTGTTACTGGAGGAAGCATTATTATGGATTATGGACTCTAATTTTGACCAGAAGAATTGGTTAACAACTTAATGATGGAATAGTTGTCACACACAGCTTTTCACTTTTTAAGATGTTAAAAAGCAGCTGTTTATCAGGAGTCTCATTCTGACGGCACCCATTCACTGCAGAGGATCCATTGGTGATGTGGTGAAGTAATGAAATGCTAAATTCCTCCACATCTGTTTAGATGAAGAAACAAAATCAACTATATCTTAGGTGGGCTGATGGTGAGTAAATGTTAACCAAAATTTTGGGGAGAACTATTCCTTTAAAAGAATTGCCTTCCTCTCTAAGATCACTTGCACTTCTTGGTCACACAGAGATTCATATAGACATCAAATTAACAAAGAATTCAACATGATAAAATATTTATTAAAAGAAGGTTTTAAGGGAACACAAGGAGTGGTTATTTATTGGCTCAAATCTACACAAAACCATGTGTCTTTCTTCATTAATAAACATTTCATGTTCTCCTTCAACTTTTCAGATGAACAACTACCATTCAAGTGAAAGAGAACAGATGCACTTGCATTTAATATCACATTGAACTAAAGTGTATTAACTTATTAGTAATGTATTCATTAAAAAAGTTGTAACAAAAATATTTGCAAAGAAAACTCACAAAACTAGAACTAGTATTGCTTATTTAGCAGAGGGAGTGCACAAACATTACAATTCATAAAAAGCAAGCATGATGCAACTACAACTCGCATTGTTGGAACTTTATATTTAGTTTCCTTTAAACGTCAACCAAGAGGAAAATGTCTCGAGAAGCCCTTTCGAACAAAAGCTTACACTGAACATAAATAAAAGAGGATTGTTTTGGCTTAAAAGAGTCCACTTTTGGTGTGAAAAGGCTGTTACATTTGCCAAAAATATAACTTTTTTATTTTAAAAACAAACAAGCAAGCCCTGTCTAGATTTAAAAAGTAATGTAAAAGTAATGTAACACATTACTTTCCATAAAAAGTAACTAAGTAACATAATTAGTTACTTTTTTTACGGAGTAACGCGATATTGTAATGCATTACTTTTAAAAGTAACTTTCCCCAACACTGTAAGTAATACTAAAATAACGCTGATAACAACACTTTGAACATAATCCTGCTCTCTGCCTGGCACACCAGAGACCTGTTGAGTTTTGTCCATCCTTCCAAAACTTGTAGACTTGTCTAGACTAGTATGAAGTAAAAATGAGAAGAGCAGATGAGAATATCAGAGCTGAGAAAATGGGAGATGAAATGTTTTGGCTAATTGGACAGCAGTTATATAAATATATGGCTCCAAAAAATGGAATTATGAGAATCTCTGCCAGGTGAGTGTAAAAAAAAAAACACACTTCTGTCTGTTCTCCATTTCTGTGTCATCTCACTGATTTAGTTTCTGAACAGTATTTTACTTTCTCCCTCCAACTATTCTCTCTTCTATGAGAAGAAAGAACAACAAAAGCACATCAGACATTAATCACATGAGTGGAATGTGTCTGTTGCGCAGGTAACTTCATGAGAACAATTACAGATCAGATACATTCCACAAACAAGATAAGAGGAAACAATGATTGTTTTATGATTCAGGGCACATTTCTTATTAATGATTAAATTCATGAGCAATCTCTGTTGCCAGGCGGAAGCTAATATGTGTTTACATGCCAAAAATAAAATCCAATTTGTCTTAAAACTCTGCTTTTGTCATTTTGATTTGAATTATGTGACTGTTCTCTGAGACTAAACTATTCCAGTCTAAACTAAAATAATCTAAGGAAAAATCAAGAAAAAACAACCCCATTACCACAGTCAGGCTTAAACAATGTGTAAATGCAGCCTTTCCAAAGTAAACACTTCATTGGCCTCTTGAGCTTTGCAGGTTTGTGCATTAGTCTGTGAGCTTTCTGAAAGTTATTGTTTTTATTTGAGCCAATATTAAGATAAGGATGTGCTTTAGTCTATAGGTGTGGTTTTATGGCTGTTTTCTCTTTGTCGTTCAGCTATAACAGGAACAATGCTGGGTTTGAGTAAACAAGTGATATTTCTTGAGTGCTGTAGAATAACAAACTGACTTGCTAACACTGGGCGTAAAGGGATAGTTCACAAAGAAAATAAAAATTCTGTGATCATTTACTCACCATCATGTCATTTCCATTAGTGTTGTTTTGTCCATACACTGAAAGTCAATGGGATCCAATGTTGTTTTGAATAATATTTGGAAGAAAGTCAGTCATATAGATTTGAAATGACATAAGGGTAATGGTAATAAAAGGTAAATGACTATGAAAATGTAATTTTTAGGTGAACTATCGCTTTAAGACTTGTACCTGGGATGAAAAGATTAAAAATACTTCTGTTCTAAGAATTTCTCAGGTACAAACATCTTCAGGAATGCCAGCGTGTGTCGTCAGTGATTATATAACAGGAACACACTGGTCCCTTGGTAACTGCTAGAAACAGTCACTTTGTCGTTATGTGTGGTTACTCATCACAGACAGCTGGGCAAGATAACAGCAAAAAGAAAAGGAGACTAGCGACAGAAAGAAACATAAAGCAAAGACGAGGCTGGCCTCGATTGCATAAAAGCCCACCCCGGCCCCCCAACCCAATACATTATCTAATATATGATGCAACAGACTATATATAGCCCGACCTCTATCTCTCCATCACTCTGTGTTCTTCACCTTCTGCCCTGGCTGTAGAAACAATTTGAGTGTTAGTGTACAGCAGGGTGGGAGGCAGACAGACAGAAGGTGGGTGTCAGAGAAGGGAACAGAGAAAGGGTGGGAGGAAAGTCGAAGGGGATGCTGTAATCCTTCTTATGTAACCCTACATCTTTCAGCATCCCTCTGAGCACCACATCTGGAACTAATCCCATTTAGATTATGGAGATGTTCCCTTTTTCTAAACCAAAACAAGCACACACACTCAATTCCCCACTCTTTATCAAATAAGACTCACTAGCATCTTAAGGAAAAATACAAAAAGTGTGAAAATTGAAATTATAGGCCCCCTTTCTCAAGGGTCTTCATGATCTCCAGGCCTGTGCAGTGATTAGGCCTTAACCCTACAGCCCCATCATTAATACCCCTTCATTAGCTCATTCATTTTATTTAACAGGGACAATGAACAGTCCATGACTGCACCAAAATTAGCTAAAAATATCAATTTAATCTCCAATCTCTGGGAAAGAAAATGTATGACTATATTTGGGTATCATTAAGTTACTTATTATTAAATATGATATATATATAAAATGCACATTTACAATAAACATTTGCATGGATAATATTTAAATAATATATTTATATCATTTATTATATATTTATATAACTTATTATATTATTTATAATATTTAAATATAATATTTAAATATTTACAGATTTACAGTAAGCAAAAAAACAAATAATTAGATACAAATAAATAATTATAACAAATAATTACAAATAAAATGTATATTTATATT